CTCTCTCTCTCCCTCTCTCCCTCTCTCCCTCTCTCCCTCCCCCTCCATATATATGTACAAAACAAAACAAACAAACAAAAAGCATGCCCATGGGTTTTCTCCACAAATTAGGTTTGTTTTACCTTATGTCAAATGAGGGTCAGGTATGAAGACATGAGTTCTAGTCCTGATACTGCCACTACCTCACAGTGTAACCCTGGGCATGCCTTAACTTCCTCTTGGGCTTCCTTACAGGTTGTGTTGAGAGCACAGACTCTGAAACCAGTCTGCCTGGGCGAAAACCTGCTGGCCAGCATACCAACAGATAGGAGAAAAGATTAACACCCTCCCAAATTAGATTCTATCCAACAAGAAAAGGGGTGGGAAGGGACTCGGGATAGGGTTCTAGGGTCTGCCTTCTGGCAAGAAAGAGAGCGGTTGAGCTTTATTTTACCCGATTCCAGCTTCTCCGAGGCTTGATTACAGAATCATCTCTCAAAGTATGTCTTAGCAGCCTATGGTTCTCATGGAACCCTTTTGAGAAATATTCCTGTAGCTTTGACAAGATGTGGGAAAGAGGGCCCATTGACTCATCTCATATGAACGCTTCACACTTCTCCCAGCTTCCCTGGGCTGGTGCTGAGGCTCCAGAAAGCCCTTAGTTGACAGATCTGGTTTGCTCCCAATCTATTATCTTTTTGTTTTGCTTTGCTTTGTTTTGTTTTGTTTTGAGATGCTGGCTCACCTTACTCCAGGCTGACCTGTGTCTCAGTCACTGTCCTGCTGCTGTGAAGAGACACCATGACTAGGGCAACTCTCATAAAAGAAAGCAGTTAGGGGCTGGAGAGATGGCTCAGCGGTTAAGAGCACTGGCTGCTCTTCCAGAGGTCCTGAGTTCAATTCCCAGCACCCACATGATGGCTCACAACCATCTGTAATGAGATCTGGTGCCCTCTTCTGGCCTGCAGTCATACATGCTATATACATTAAGAAATAAATAAATCTTTAAAAAAAGAAAGAAAGAAAGCAGTTAATTTGGGGCTTGCTTACAATTTCAGAGAGTTAGTTCATCATCATCTGTGGTGACATATTCTGTACCCCAATAAACCTGCCTGAGGATCAGAGGACAGAGCCAACCACTATATTACACATAAAGGCCAGGCAGTGGTGCCACACACCTTTAATCCCAGTACTGGGAAGCACACACGCCTTTAATCCCAGGAAGTGATATCTGGGTAGAGAAAGGTATATAAGGTGTGAGGAAACAGGAACTCACTCTCTTTAGACTGAGGATTTTGTAGAGGTAAGAACTAGGCTGCTCTGCTTCTCTGATCCTTCAGCTTTCACCCTGATATCTAGTTCTGGGTTTTTTATTACAGGACCATTTAAGATTCATGTTATAGTCATCATCATCATGGCGGGGAGCATGGCAGGGAGCAGTAGCTGAGAGCTACATCCTGACTGATTGGCAGAGACAGACAGACGGACAGACTCTGGGCCTGGTGTGGGCTTTTGAAACCTCAAAGCTCACCCCCCCCCCCAGTGACACACTTCCTCCAACAAGGCCACACTTACTCAAACAAGGCCATGGCGCCCAATCCTTCTCCAGTACTGCCACTCTCTGATGACTGAACATTCAAATACATGAGCCTGTATAGGCCATTCTTAGTTAAGCCACCGTATTCTGGAACTCATTATGTGACCAAATGGCCTGGAATTCAGAACAGTGCACCTGCTTCAGCCTTCCAAGTGCTAGAACTACAGCTGTGAACTACCATGGCCCCTTCCCTCCTACTGTTCTTTATCATCTCCTTCGATGCTCAGTTTTGAGAAGGGGGAGAAGGAAAAGGTAGATGTGTATGATCTGTGACTTAGGGCTGTCACCTACAAACAAGTTTGGACTCTGGCGTCCAAGTGGCCGGAGAATGCCCAGTGGCACAGCTTCCAGACAAAGTGGCAGCTGACCTAATTTTCCTGTCCCTCCACTTGCACTGAAGCATGTCTCAGTCAGAACTCCCACAGCCTTTCTGAGAACCCATCCTCTCTCCAGGTCCTCTCCCCTGGAACACTCATTGAGAGCAAAGCCCACCCAGGGCAAATCTCTTTCCCTCTCGGGGCTCCCCTTTCCCATTTGCAGATGAGATGGGTGGAGGGGGAGGGAGCTGGCCTGGATCAATGTGTTCCTTTTTTATGCTTTTAACTAGGGGTTGAACCTAAGGCCTCACGTATTTGAGGCAAGTGCTCCATTCTCCTCTTTACCTACTCAATGCTGAGCACAGACTGGGGTCCGCAAAGAGTCTAGTGAATGAGTGGATGTGTGTGGTGAACAGATGGGAGACATCTGTCCTTAGCATTTTGTGATAAACTCTGTTGTATCTGTCCAGGTTCACTAGGACAACTGGGACTCCTTGCTGGCTATGGGGAGTGTTTTTAGAACTAAGCAAAAAGGCTGAGCCAGTCTGTAAGGCTTGGCCTAGGACTTCCTAATGAGTTTAGAGGACCCAGAGGGGATGTCTCCATGAGACCCAAGGATACTGTGTCATCCCAAGTCTGGTTGGCCTTGTGAGGATAGGCACTCCCCATCTTCACTTCCACATGGAGCAGGGCTCGGTTATAGGTGCTATTGACCCACTTGGGCAAGCCCTCCTCCTCCATCTGGCTTCTAATGGACCTTCCAGCATGTAAGTCCTGCAGCCCCAGGGTAACTGCTAGAGAGCATTAGGAAGCAGGACCTCTGTGTCCAAGCCTCCTTTGATGCAGATCTCGTCTCTTTCAGATGCATTTCATCTTCTCAGATGAGGCTGTGCTTCTGTTTGATTTCTGGAGAGTCCACAGTCCTACAGGTAAGAATTGGGAAGGTCACTTGTAGTTTGGCAAGCCCCATGGTGCCAGGCGGCAGAGAACCTTATTTTCTGTGGGCAGTTAGGGCACATTGAGCTAGAACTTTGCATTTATCATTCTAAAGCAAGCTCATAATAGGTCAGATGCCTGCCATGGCAGATGTGCCCTTCTCTACAATGTATGACCATCGTGTAGACCAAGCAATGGGGTAGAACACATCTCATTAACGCCTCACCAAGATTCTGTGGGTTGACTATGCTACTCAGGGCCTCTCATGCAGTGAGCCAGACAGTGGCTGGACACAGGCTTTTGGAGGAGTTTTTAGGGTCTTGTACTGGTTGTGAACTGCAGCCTCAGCTGGGTCTCGTCTGAGGCTCACAGTGGCTCCTCCTGTAGCCTGGGCTTCCTCATGGCAGAATGGCGAGGTTTTAAGCAGGTATCCTAAAAAAAAAAAAAAAAGACATGGGTGAAATGCATGAGGTTTTAAAACCCTACCCTAGGGGCTGCTGAGAAGGCTCAGTTGGTCAGGTGCTTGCTGAGAGAGCATGAAGATCTTAATTCGATTCCCAGCACCCATGCAAAAGACAGTCACGGCAGCATGCACCTGAATTCCTTGCACTGAGGAGTAGAGACAGGAGGACCCTGGGGCTTGCTAGCCAGCCAGCCTATCTTTAGCTTCAGCAAGAGATGCAGTCTCAAATAAGGTAGAGAGCAATAGAGGATACCTAATGTTGACCCCTGGCCTCTACACACATGTGCATGCACACACACGAACATGCACACATGTATACACATATGCACATACACATATAAAAATAAAACCTACACTTGGAAGTTGCATAGAATTATCTTCACCTGTTGACTGGTCCTTTGACCTTTTCAGGTTAAAAGAGAGGGAACATGGCTCCCATCTCATGTTGGAAGGAGGATGTGGGTAGGATATATGGGAGTGGACATCTCTGAAAGATGCACTCTATCACAGACACTGTAGAGTAACCTGGGAAAATGAGGTAGATGTGTGTGAACAGAAGGGAGTCCATGTCCTGGGGGAGATGGATGATGAAACTCGATGCAGGTGAGTATGCAGACGGGATGCTGTCATTTAGACAGCCAAGGCTGGTACAGACATGGAGCTGCAGAGGCTGCTGTGGAGAGGAGGCTGCGTTCTGGGAGTGTGGGAAGTGTTTAGTGTATACTCTTCTCCATGATTAAACTTCTACCATGGGCATGTAATTGCCTATGATTACCTATTTTAAAAAGAGAGAGAGAGAAAGCCTGTGGCTTTTACCTTTGTGAAGGAAAAAAAAAACAGCCTATGGTTTTTCCTCTTTTTTATATTCCATGGTCAGATGTGTAGTTCTTCCATGCCAGCCATTTTTCAGCTGCTGAGTATCCAACAGTTCAGTTTAATTCCGACCCTAGAGTTGGTGCCCACCCCACAGATCAAGAGCACAGTCCCTCGCGGACTGTCTCCCATGCAGACGCTTGTACTTCTGACCAGTGAGCTGTAAAATCAAGGCTATGACCCCACCCCCCAACTGGCATCAATCATTTGCTGGAACAACTCACAGAACTTAGGGAAATGCTTTACATAGGCATAATTAAGCCACTAGCCACTGGTGATCAGCTCAGCCTGCGGCCCCTGTCTGTTCCTCAGAGCCTAGGAGTAAGGCTGAGTGTTCCAATCTTATCTAATGTTGGTTCCTCTCCATCCTGAGGCCAGCTACTTAGGGGCTTCAGCCACAAGTCAATGGCACATATAAGCCCCCACTAGCAAGTATTTATTGGATACAGTGTTTCTTAGTATATAGCCCAGGCTGGCTGTAAACTCACAATCCACCTACCTCAGCTTCCTCAGGGCTGAGATTACAGGCATGCACTTCTATTCCCAGTTCCAAATATATTCTTACATCACAAAGCCTCATAAAATACTTCAGATGGACCATCTATTATCTGTCTGCTGTAAAACACAGGTAGCATCAGAGTTCATTTTGCCCAGAGGCACTAGTAAGTACTTACTATTCATTTTAACTTACTGGATTTTTCTCTATAAATGTAATGCATGGAATTCTCATAGACAATAATTTTGGAAAATTAGGTGAGAAGAAAGTAAACACCCACCGTATTCTAACTGTATTCTGTTGCTCTCCTGCTGTACCCCTTCCCAGGGTTTTGGTATGCCTACATGTGAAAAAATGTATGCCTTGATGTATACAGTGCCCCATTTGCAAGAAATCTTGATAGAGATGTGTGCAGAATGTGGGGGAGCTAATGGGGATGATGCTGTGCGGCTTCTCATCCTTAATCCCTGGCTCTGCCAGAATGAGGGGCTACACTCCAGTATGTCAGCACTACCAAGAGATGTCTGGAGAGGCAAAGAGATGATGGAGGTCTGAGCCTAATGAGGGTAAGGAGGAAGAGACCGGTGGCTGGAGTGGATTCAGAGTGAGTGGGGAGTGGGCTGACCTGCCTTCCCAGCCAGCTCTACAACTTGGCTTGCTTGTTCTGGGGCACTGGGGATCAAACCTTGGGCCTCACTTGGGCTAGGCAGGCACTCTTGTCTCTGGGCCTTATTTCTTGAGATAAGGTCTCGCTAAGTTGTTTAGGTTGGCCTGGAATCCAATCTAGTCCAGGCCAGCACTGAACTTGTGATCAACAGAGTACCTGGAATTACATACAGGCCTTTGTCCAACATCCAGCTTGCTTTATTTATATGCACATGTACCATATGTACATATATACTTGTGTGCATGTGGATGTGCATATGTGTGCATGTCCATGTGCACGTCAGAGGACAGCCTTGGCTATCATTCATCAGATGGCATCTTCCTTGTTGAGACAGGGTTTCTCGCTGGCTTGGAACCTGCCTAGTAAGCTAGGCTGGGCTGGCCCGCAAGCCCAGGGATGACTGTGTTTGCTTCCCCGGTGCTGGGAATACGGCAGAGGTGGCTGCTGCTGCTCTTCTCGCCCATCTCCCTCCTTCTTCCTCTTCTTCCTCCTTCCCTCCTCCTCCTCCTTCTCAAAAATCTACTTGCCTGTCTTTTAGTGCACGTCGCCACACCTGACCAGCTTATTTATTTTTAATTGGCGAAAATTGTCCCTCTTATGTGGTACTTTGAGATGTTTCAGTACATGTATAGGTTGTGTAGCATTCAAGTCAGGGCCAGCCACCTGTCCCTTCAAACTTGTATCATTTGTTCATGGTTCTGCAATCACCATACAGGACACGGCACACCAAAACCTATTTTTCAACTTGGCCTCTTCACAGGCATGGCCCTCTCAGTGCTGGTAGTCTTGCTCCTGGCTGTACTGTATGAAGGCATCAAGGTTGGCAAAGCCAAGTTGCTCCATAAGACTCTGGAGAACCTGCCTAGTACCAGCAGCCAGCAGCTCATCCCGGAACCAGACCAGGATTCTACAGGCTCCGGATCAACTCCAGCCAATAGTACCCGCCTCAGGTACAAACCATGGGTGGAAGGATGGCCAGAGCATTCACTCCTATCCTGAGAGGTGGTTGGGCCCAGAGAAAGAGAATTTTCACAGAAAGCACAGAAAGATAATTTGGGCCCCAGGAAGTATTTAGTAAGATGAACTAGAGCCTGAGTCTCTGATGTCTGGGCCACAGCTATATATCAAGAAGCCCCTTGGGAGGATCCTAAGGCTTTCTCAGGGAACTTCAAACCTGTGCTGCAGGCCTGTCAAGCAGCAGGCATGGGCAACTGTTCTTTCTCCCCAGGCTCCCAAACACAGGAGATGTGCAGGTGTACCAAAGCAAGAACTGCCATCAGCCTAGTATCCACTTGATGGAAGAGGGAGGCATCCTTTCTGGGCTCCGGTCCCACGCCGACCAGGCTTACAGGCCCGTCTGCCTTCTGCAGCCTCACCTCTGCTTAACGAGCCTGCCCGCAATGTCCCAGTCACCTTACCTGGGTGCCTCACACCCTCACAACCACCCTGTGGGAGTTCTCCCGGTGTTTTAATGATAAGAAAATTAGCACTCAAAAGATTCGGAGATTTAATAGGCATCCAAGTCCCTGTTCTTTTCATGACTCATCTACCTCCCACATTCAATTCAGGGGAGAGACTGGCTTCCCGATGATTTCTTCTTATCCCTTATCAGACAAAATTGACTACATAAACCATAATGGTTTCCCCATCTGCCTAGGGATACAGGAAGCTCAGAACTAAATGTGGTGGGGATGTCTCTTTGGAGAGAAATCTCTGCTGGGTAAAATGTTAGGCTGGGACTCGGGGCTCTCTGTCTCTAAACACATCTGCTCATCACTATGTAACTAACTCGTTTCTCTTTTATGCCTAGGTGGTTTTTGTGTTACTTTGGCCAGTCCCTGGTCCATGTCATTCAGGTGGTCATTGGCTACTTTGTGATGCTGGCTGTAATGTCCTACAACACCTGGATTTTCCTCGGTGTGGTCCTGGGCTCGGCTGTGGGCTACTACCTAGCCTACCCACTTCTCAACATGACTTAGTGGGCCAGACCTGCGTAGATGCTGAGTGAGGGCTGAAGAGAACTGGGGCCTCTGCTCCAGGCATTGCACTTCCAGATGCTTTTTCTTACGATGGCCACTGTCCACCTCTTTCCCAGTTCCTGGCAGCTTTGAGCTGAAGCCAGCGAACAGTCCCTGGAGCTTAGAGGTCATTGGAGCTACCTCCCTTCCTAGCCCCGCCTACATAGGGCCAGGCCTCCTGTGGTGCCTTAGGCAAGTAGCTGTGACCAAAGGGAACATGGAAGAGACTGGAACCTGGAGCAAAGGTAGCCAGACCTGTGACTACAGATCTCAGACTTCAAATTAAAATTTCCCAAAGAGCTTCAGTGAGGAAGGCCATGGAACCTGGATATCCTCTTCTGCTTTGTGCCTTAATGTCAGGGGCATCTCCAGTCTTTGGGGACAGACTATGCCAGCTCCTTCTCACCTTTTTGCCTTGGAACACATAAAGACTGCCATTGACAAAACAAGTTTTTCACTTGGACCCCCTGGTTGGCAATTTTGTACATTTATACGAAACACAGTTTCTAATGAACTCACCGTGTTCATGATGATGGCAGTGTCTGCAGAGACCAGGCTCCCTTGCTTAGGGAGCCGATACTGATTCAAGGCAGAGCCAGGACGGTTAGCAAGGCTGCAGACTGTCTGCGGTGCAAATGAGCTCTCCCCGTCCGACAGCCCCGCCTGCGGCAGGTCAGTCTCGTGACCAGGGCCACACCCCATCCTGTGTGCACCACAGAGGACGGCATTTCCTAACAGCCTGGCTGCCTCTCATTTCTTACTTGCTAACTCCCAATGACCTGGGAGGGAGGGAGCCATGAGTCAGTCACTGAAGGACTGATTCAGCAGGGGTGTGTTGCGGGGGCTGACTGAGGGTGCAATAGAAGTACTGACTCGGCAGGGGTGTGACTGAGGGCGCAATAGCACGCAAACCAAAGCCAGGTCATGTTAAGCGGTAAGTGGACTCCAGGTATTTGAGCCTTTTCACTTTACAGAAAAAAGTTAGAGACAGGAATGGGGACACGTACATGTAATCCCAGTACCCGGGAGGCTGAGCCAAGGGATTGTGGGTCTGAGGGCAGCCCAGGTTACATACAGAGTTCCAGACTAGCCTGGAATGAAACACACACACACACACACACACACACACACACACACACACACACACACACACACACGGCAGTCACTGCTACATACCATAGTGTCTATGTTCAAGTACCTCATGGGCTCAATGAAAAGACGGTTTTAAGCTTTGGGAATTAAAAACAAATACACTTTAATAAATTTCTATTTTTGAACAGTCTGCAGTTGTTGGTCTGTTTCTCCTCTTTCCAACAGTGCACAACTCTTACATGTTACCACTGCAGGAGCTGGAACACTCGAGACCAAGGACTGAGATTGCTTGTGTTAAAGACAACACTGTGTGCAGAGAAACTATGCCTAGAAATGTGCCTGTTGGTAGACACCAGAGTGTCAGCTTAGTCCTGTTAAGTTCATGTAACAAGCTATTGATTGTCACAGGTGTTAGCATATTGTGTGTGGGGGACCCTCAGCTGGCTGGGCCAGGGTACCCCACAAGTGAGGGAAAACACGCTGGGCAGATGTAGCGGCGGCAGAAGTGTGTGGACAGTCACGCATACCCCAGGCGCTGCATCCAGCATGATCCCTCGGTTCTCTGAGGAGACCCCTCTCCAGGCCATAGGGCCTGTTGCTGTAGCTCTGGTGAGCCCAGGGAGAGCAGGAGGGCTCATGGGTCAACTTGAGAATGAGTGAAAAGGAAGAGCTTGGGAGAGATGGCGGGATGCTTGTGACTGGCTGCAGGTGACCCTCCTAGCCCTTCCTCCATGGTAGGGCCACTCCCTGAGGGCTCTTACGCCACCAGTTCTGCAGACAGGCTCATGGTCCTCTTCACCAGGTCAGGCAGGGGCTCAGATGGCAGCTAACTCAGATGTCTGAACCACTGTCCTCAGAATGTCCACCGGGACCTCACCCTGAGGCTCACCTAGACCTGAGGCCGGCTGTGCAAAATCATGCTTAGGGAAGGGCTGGGAGAGGAACCTGTGTGCCTGTTTCCTAGATCTTCACCCCAGCCAGTCAATGTCATCGTCATCATCATCATCTCCAAAAAGGGGTGTTGGGGGCGGACGTCCCTTCATGCTCTGACAAAACAGGAAAGAGAGGTCAGTCCTCACACATCCCTGCCCAGGGGCCTCCTGCCTATGAGGGGAAGTGGTCCAACAGCTGTCCTGCCTCTGGCTGGAAAGGAGATAAACTAGAAGGACAGGCTTTGTGGCCAGAGAACTGATCCAGATAAAGCTGAGACAAGCAGGCACGGAGGGAAGCCATCTTTCAACAGAGACAAAAGACCAATTTTGCTTGGCAGTTTCTGTAATTTATTTGTGAAACACGTATTGATAGGGCAGATAAGTCAACTTAGAAATTGCGTGTGGAAAAAAGAAGGTTCGTTAAGGAGAGATGGGAAAAGAGAAGAAACGGAAGCAGAGCAGCCTGGAACAGGAGAATGAGAGGTCCGGAGAAGTACAATCACATTAGAAAGCCAGCTGTGGCCTGAGGTGGCCAGAGAAACTCAGAAAGACGTGGATGCAGAGGCATGTCCAAACTCTCAAGTGGAGAATCCCAAGAGATAAAGAAAGCTCACAAAGGCAGGGCCATGCTCTCTTTAATGGGAGTGTGGACTAAAGGGATAAAGGGTCTTAGGACCCTAAACGTCCCAGCCAAAGGATACTGTGTTACAGGTGGTACTGGTGGAGGTGCTGGAAACCTTCTGCGATGGGCCCAGTAAGAGGTCTGGGGACTAGAGGTGGCCCTCTAAGGGGGCAGTGAACTCTGGCCTCCTTTTCACTCTTCCACTTCCTAACCATGAAGAGGATGCTTTTCCTCTATACATGTCTTTACCGTAGGCCTGAAAGCAGTGGAGTGAACCCATCGTGGACTCAAACCTTTGAAACTTTGAGCCAAAATATACAGTCTGTCTGTATACACTTCCTGTTTCCAGCATTTTGTGCAGGAACAATGCTGACTAACACAAGGAGCCGTGTAGGAGGCTCTCCTGCTCTCTTCATGATTTAAGCTTCTAGCCTTTCGTCTGCTTTGGTCAGGTGTCGCAAGGCTTGAGGCTCCAGACAAGCATAACACATAATCATATTAGTAGAAGGTTAAATGAAACTGTGAAGTATTTTTCTGACTACCGAAGAAACAGATTATTGACTTGATAGAACTGGCAGTAATACCAATTAATATATCGCTCATCTTCTTTTCTCCTTCATTTTCTATGCAGAATTTGTAGTTAGTGTTCTCAAATGCAAACTGAATTCTCAGGAAGGCAGGCTAATGGGAGGAATAGGGTACCTTCTCTGAAGGCAGGCAGGCAGGCAGGCAGGAGGGCCGGACTCTGCTTCACCTGAGTTGGGTTCCAGATGTCACTGCCTTCTGGCAAAAGGCAAAACTCACTCCAAATGGATGGTACAGAAGGGCAACAGGCTTTGCCCATGTTCAGCCTCCTAGTTCTGCCCTAGACTGAATCTAACACTCCTCTGTCTCCTCCACACACTTCATAACAGTGAAATTCCCATTACAGCGTCAAAATGGTCACATGTCAGATGGCCAAGCCAGGGCTCCAATCCTGGCTCTGTCAGCAGCTCCCTCTGTGGCCCGGCTCTCCTGTCCCCTCACTTGACTACACTGTCAACAATGAGCCCTGGGTGTGAGCTGAGAAAGCAAGCAGCAGGGTGGAAGTGGACTAGGTGAGCAGAAGTTCTCAGAAACAAGTGACCCAAGAGAAGCCTGGGCTCAGTCCTAATCTACCATCAGCCTCCTGTGAATGATCCTTCTAACCTTTCTTTGTCTAGGAAGGAGGAGCGCCACAAGCTGACTTTCAGAATCTTCCCACCTTCCCTTACTGCAAATAGGACTGATTCCCCAGGGGACAGAGATTATGGCACCCTTTTAAGAGTACAGTGGCAGCTGGCCATCCCCACTCTGCTTACAGAGCTGCCCACTCTGGACCCCAAGCTCACTCCCACAAGGTCCTGTACACAGAGTCCAGGAAGTAGGCCACCAACAGACTCCTTTTCTCTTCTCCGAGCCTGCAGGGAAGAGCCCCCAGGTGGTGCTATGAGGACTCCGCAGAGCCTGAGATTTCCTTACCACCTCGTCTTCATCCTCTTCCTCAGGCTGGACTTTGGGCCTCGGGACTTTCAGAGTTGCCCCTTTAAACAGCTCGTCCTCTTCATCCCCAGAGAGACTAAAGGAGAATCAAGCCACAGATATGTTGCTGTGTCTGCCTGGGTCACCGTGCCCACCAGTTACGAGGGTCACCGGTCCTGAAGTGAGACCCACTCACCCAATTCAAATCTCTCTTCCTACACTGTGCATCCATCCCTCCAAAGACCACACCCTGTGTAATCCCCTCCACAGTCTATACCCTGTGTTAACACCCTCCACAGTCTATACCCTGTGTTAA